AGATGCCAATTGAAAGTGATGAGTCCTTAGCAATGATGCAGTATGAAAATGCAGCTGAGTAATGTCCACAGACTGAAACCCAGCTCAGTGGTCCCAGACCATTTGCTATAACCAACCCCCATCTCATGACCAACTATCTCCTTGTGCAATGACTCCCCACATACACTTTGCAAATTCAGAGTAACTTTAGATCAATGGCCTGGAGGGGCACTGGATTGCTATCTCAAGAGCAGCGGGATTCGCATACCAGTTACTTGAATTTGCTCCTTGAAGAAGATGGGTAGATGTATCCTTCTGTATGTTCGCTTGAATAGAGCTGCCCTGATGTGATTTAAAGTGGACTGTTCTCTTGGAAGTTAATCATGGCAATTTATGCTTTAATAAATGGAACCCAGCAGGAAATGCCAGAACAGGCTTAGAGAATGATTGAACTTCTGGCAAAAACCTGCATCTCCTACTCTGATTACTCAACAGACAAATGCTTTGTAAACCAGCCCTGTCTGCTTTCATAAATATTTCCAGAACTGGATTGGCCTGCTATTTTAGACATGTCATGGCAGCAGATATGTTGGTTGAATTAGTCTGTGCTTGCGCTAGGATGAGTGGTCGTTGCATTCTATATGAACGTCATAATTTAGCTACACTGCATCCTCTTGGCTTGAATGACAGGCTTTAGAGAGCAATTCTAAATCTCTTTTAATGCTAATATCAAAACATGTCTTATGACAAAGCCCTCGTCTCTTCATTTCCAAAATCATCTAAATAGTGCTAAAGAGCTCAGTGTTGTAGTATTTAAGCCTTGATTAATGTGTGCCAAATATCTATGCGCATTAAAAGGAAACGAGTCAAATATTTTTATGTTATCGTTCATATTATTAATTATTTTTCAATTTGCACATTATTTCTGTCCAATTTTTCCAATATTTTCCATGTCAGTTCTAGGAATTAAGTTTCAACTGAAGGAATTAACTTTGCAATAGCAAAGTTACCAGGCCTGAGTCTCAGCCACTTCTAAAGGTGAAGTGGAGCAGAGACAAAGCTGGCATTCAGTCATGTCTGCTCTTTGGACGCATGCTCAGCTGGTATATACTGCTGGACCTAATACAACTTACATATCAGGGCCTACTCCTCCAAATTCTGAAGCTGGCCCTAACTCCCCAGCAAACACAAACACAGCCCCGAAGGGGGGGCTCTTAATTACAGCAGTCTTTAATGGGTTACCTGTTGTTTATTCTTGCTGGCCTGAAACAAGTAAGTGCACTGTGACCAGCTGCACTCCTGCCCACCCAGGTATGCCCTATATGAAAAGGATTTCCCAGAAAGGAAAGTCACCTGGGTTCTAGATCCTGAAGTTCACGAGGTGGCCCACAGTAGGGCAATATATTTTGTACAGTGGCTTTGGGTCACTTTCAATTAAGGACACGTGGACTACCATGGCTGTAAGTGCTCCCCCAAGAATCAATAGGAAGCAATTATCTGGACAAGCTATTTTTAAATGTTGAACACACACTGTTCTCGGAACCTTAAAAACATTGTTCAAGACTAGGAGGGGTTACAACCCAACTGGAGGTGTTACTATGAACTGGTGGATTGTTTTTTGGGTTTTTTGTTTTTTACTTTTTCTATGCCTCACAGAGAGCGCAAAGCACTGACTGTGTCAATCAATGTTACATTTCAAATCTGTTTCTCTTGTATGTCTTGAAAATTCTACTAACTCAATTGCGCAAAGGAGGAGGAACCGGCATGACTCAGCTCCATGCTGCAATGGCTGGAGCCGATTCAGAGTAACAATCCTTTGGATTTTCCTTACCAAAATATGAGTCCACAGCTCAGATACTGTAAAGTATGTGGAGTCCGGGTAAGGAACACAGAGTGGCAGTGTGCCTGCCACAGTCCTCAACTCAGGCAGGAGCTCATGGGAAATTTCCCTTTTCAGAGTTAGGAAAGAAACCCAAACTGCAGAAGATCTTGTTCACTGCCTGTGAAGACAAATTGTCAAAGAGGAGCAATCTTCTGACTGCCAGCTCCTTCCTGGCCCCAAATTTTCAAGAAAGGATGGTGACAGGTAGCAGGCATTAATTCATTCTAAATATTTTTATAGAATCCCCTTTTAAAGAAGGGGAAATCAAGACACTGAAAATGAATGACAAGCTCTGGGCAAGAAATGAGTAAGGACTTCAGGAGCTGGCCTTTTACAAGGAAGGCAGAAAGCGAGACTATTTGCCAGTACTGGATATTGAACTAAAGTCTTTAAGAGATAAGGTCCTGGCTTTTAATCTCACAAGCGAGTTAATATCCAAACGTTCTGGTTTGTTTCCAGGAGCTCTGGGGGGTGCTAACTCTGTCTCTTTGAGACACATCCATTACAAGCGTTGCCCATCAATCATTAATTACATATTCCATGATCAGGAGAGGTTATTTTCTGAAATGGCTTGGACACTTTTTGTCAGGAAAGCAGTGTTGCTTCCATAGAGCAATGCTCTGGGTTGGGTATACTGATGGGAAAGAATGAACAGTCAGGAAGTTTGCATCATTTACCAACCAACGTTACACTGCAATAGAGAGTGCAAAAGGGCAGTATGACCACTGCTTCTGTATTTTGAGTGTCCTCTGAACATTTCAAGTGATGCCTGCTTCAATAACAGGATCCTCTCTGCTTTGTTACACTTGGCCAATCAAAATGACTTGTGTTTGTTTTCACAATTGTGGGTGTTGTAATATGACAATAATACAAAACAGTCTTACCTAAAAGCAGCTCATGAGAAAACAAGGGAAAACAGCTTTCCATTCATTCAAAAGGGAACCTTCTCATAGACATTTATCTCAGGTGATTCAAAAACCACCACCTGCTCATTGTTCTCCAGTACAACTAATCAGCTGCTGCTTCTAGTATCAGCTATCAGCCCATGCTTGCATGGATGTGGACTGAGTTACATAATGGGTCTTTATGATCTCTGGCTTCTGTGATTCACTGGTGCAATGTGTTAATTAAAGCACCTTTCCAGGAGAAAGTTGCTGAAATAATCATAAAACACTGAAAGGTCAACTTCACCACTACTGCAGTTACACAACATGGAAAAGCCTAATAGTTGATGGCAGACAGATAAATGTAGTGCCAGGAAAACGTCTTAATGTAGGGTGATGCCCTGGGTTTAATACAAGTTCATTTGTGCTTGCATAGGTGGGATGAAACCGTGTTAACAAATATGTTACAGAACCTAACTACAGCTTGGAAAAGGCAGACTGTAACCTTGAGAGTGTTTCAGAGTGGATCAAGGTTGCTCAACTGAAACAACATTGGATTTTTTTATTTAAATTAAATCCATTTTGTTTTTTTTTAAATAACAGTGTCAAATGAAACGTAAAACTCCAAGAAGCCCACATTAAGGCCTTGATTTATTACAATCTATTCCAACAATTTAAATCAAATGCCAAAAAAATGTCTGTTGAAGTCTGAAATGCTAGTAAACCAGTGAAAGTCATAGGTTTGGGCCCTGAAATCAAGGTCTGGTGAAGGGCTTGCTAAACCAACTTCTGACAGTAATAGCCTCGTACAACAAGATCAGAAAGAGTATTCTATTCATTTCAGCTTATTTGCCTGGTTCAGTTCAATGGCCACTGAACTGAAAGCTGAGACACCAAGTAGTTCTTGAAAAAGTAGGTGTTGGAAAAGTAAGATAGCTTCTTCCAATCATGAATAGAAGCTAGGCATGAAATACTGGGATCTCTTAATTCTATTGTCTTTAAGGACAAGGTAACCAGAAACAATCAGTTCAACTTCCTCCCCAAAGATAATTCTTCCTTTATTTAACATAGCAAATGAAAAACGAGTAGGTAAACAGAATTGGGTTTTTTGTTTTTTTTGTTTTTTAACATATCCAGAATATTTAACATAGTTGTAGGAAAGACCTGCTCATAAATGACTTGGCATGAAGGATGATCTATGACAATTTGGACAGCAAAGAAACCCAACTAATCTGCCCAGAGATGCTGTGTCAGAATCTAACTACCTGGTTGCTTGTAATGTTTTCAGATGCATTGCGGCCAGCTCTTAAATTAAATGCTTTTGTTACCAAGATGCACTAGAATTCACTTCCTAGTGCACACGATTTCCTTGTACCAGTGAGTTAACCAATTAATATTACATTATGCTTCAGCCTGACTGAGAGAGGAGTTTCATAGTTTCACAGTAGCTAGAGTCAGGAGGGACCTGATCAGATCATCTAGCCTGCCCCCCTGCCACAGGCAGGAATGAATGCTGGGTTCACAAGACCCCAGACAGGTGATCGTCCAACCTCCTCTTGAATATGCCCAAGGTAGGGGCGAGGACCACTTCCCTAGGAAGTTGGTTCCAGATTCTGGCCACCCTAACTGTAAAATATTGCCTTCTGATCTCTAACCTAAACCTATTCTCCATCAGCTTATTACCATTGTTCCTCGTCACCGCAGGTGGTGCTGGGGAGAAAAGGGCTCTGCCTATTTGCTGATGATCTCCCCTGATGAGTTTGTAGGCAGCCACCAGGTCCCACCTCAGCCTCCTCTTGCCAAAGCTGAACAGGTTCAGGTCCCTCAGTCTCTCCTCGTAGGGCCTGTCCTGCTGCCCTCTCACCAAGCGGGTGGCCCTCCTCTGAACCCTCTCCAGGCTGGCCACATCCCTTTTGAAGTACAGCACCCAGTACTGGACACAGTACTCCAACTGCGGTCTGACCAAAGTCGCATAGAAGGGGAGGATCACCTCTCTGAACCGGCTTGAGATGCACCTTTGGATGCGTGACAAGGTATGGTTGGCCTTGCTGGCTGCGGTCTGACATTGGTGGCTCATGTTCATCTTGGAGTCAATAATGACTCCAAGATCCCTTTCCGCCACTGTGCTTTCAAGAGGGGGACTCCCCAGCCTGTTGATGTCATGGGCTACTAAGTGAACTTTCCCTGGAGTCTGAAGGTAAAGGTAGCTGTTCACACACAGCAAGGGGATTGTGCTAGAATTACAAACTGGTTACCTGTGGTCAATAACTGCTACGTTGGAAGGAGGGATCCCCAAAACAGCACAACTCTCTTCAAGTTCTCTCTTACGAATCTCTCCTTGATTGTAGTAATTTCCTGAGGATGACAAATACAGCAGCAAGCTACTTTAGTTCAAATATACATAGGGCAAACACCTCCTGACCTAAGCACCAGTATTCTCAAAGCATGTCAGCACTATGCAGGATCTGAAAATACTAAACATCAGAGCTCCCCATCTCAGGACCAGGCACACTGTGGGGAGCAAACCCTATATAGTCTTTAGCCAGGCAACACTCCCTTCAGCCAGTGGAAAGTTTTAGGACAAAATTCTGCTCTTGGTTACACCCACCTGCCTGTCTTGACTCCAAATGCACATGAATATCTGAGAGTAGAACGAGCTCATTCAGCTGGAGGCTTGGAATTGCCAAACCACATCAGATCAGTGGTTCACATGGTCCACCACCCTGTCTCTGACAACAGCCATGTCCCACATGCTTCAGTAGAAGGGGAAAAAAAAACCCTAAAGTGGACAATTATACAATAATTAGCTTCTAAGGGGAATTGTTTTCCTGCATCCTCAGCAAACAGTGGATGGACTAGGCCCTGCAGTAGGCAGGCTTGCAGCTCTTCTGTTTTCCCCTGTATAAATATCTAGTAGTCTGTTGAAGTCTACTAAGCATTTAGCCTCAATGACATTTTGGTTGCAGTGAGTTCCACAGGTTAATTGTGCTTTGGGGGAAAACAGTATTTACTCTTTCTAATCTAATATAATTCTTGCAAGAACATAAAACTAGAGTCACTATTTATACCTGACCTCTATGGAAATCCTGAATACCATACAATGCAAACACTTGTTGACCATATTGGAAAAAATCACATGACCTGTATCCATTCAGTATGTGCTGGGTGGGCTCTACAAAACTGGGTATGGGTCTCAATTCACCTCCTAGAACACAGACACTGATATACCACAATGAGCAATAGCTGGGCTCCTTATGAGGCCATACATTGATGCCTCCTTCATTATGAGAGGAAGTTCAATAGACTCTAACTGCTGTAAATTATGTTGAGACACTAGCTCCTCCGCTGTCTGCATCAGTCATACACACAGTCACCAGGAAATGCTGGTGCAGGATCTAATGCAGCAGAACAGAAAAGCATTTACAGAACCGAAAAGGCCTGTTAACAGCTGTTAAACCCACATTCAGCAAGCAGCATTCTGGAAAACTTACAATAGACACGCTGGGACCAACAGCTAGCAGGGAACCTGGATTCATTATCTTAAGACATGGGCTGCTTCTTGATTTAATTGGTTTCATCTCATCCTGCCCTCATGCTACCTTGTACTTTCCTTGGCATCAACTGTGAAAAGCCCATGTGAGAGTCGAGCCAGTCCTTGCAAGAGTGATGCCCTGCTCAGTGCAGCAGCTGCAACCCCGGTGTAACTTCCAAGACATAGCGTGAAAAAATACTGCCACGTCTTAATGGACGATTCAAGTTTGCACTCGGGCACTCTGAATTACATTTAACTTTTCATTACTATGATTCGAGTCATCAAAGAGTAGCATTTATCTGGCGGAGTGTTGCAATCTGAGCTGTCAAACTAGGCTGTGTGTGTCATTCAAAGAGGGAAGCATTAACTTCACAAGAGAAAACTTCCTATTATAATACAACTTAAAATTTCTCACCGTACCCCTGGAGTGGGTGTTTTTAAGCGGCCAGGATATAGCTCAAGAAGCTGCAGAAGATTGTATGTCAGGTTGGAGTTCTGCAGCGGCCCAGGCCCTTGTCAGAACATCTCAAGATCATGTTCTTCTTCCCTTGGTAAATTACAGGAGATCCGGGGAGTTTACTGTGGGGGAATATTTTAAAAACAGAAGTCCCGGCTCTGACGCATGGCCATTAATGATCATGAGGCACCACTCATATGGTTGGGGGTTTGTCCTATTATCCCTTGTCAACATTTCTTCTCTTGGGATACGTTATGTTGTGTACTAGTTGGCTGTTTAGTTTCAGCAACATTTTATGTGTAAGGGGTCAAATTCTGTACAAGACATCACCACAAGCTGTAAGACCAGATTCATATCCTTCAGCTTGTGGAGTCCTTTACAACGACCTATCAATGTACGCTAGAATTACTGGGACGCCGTTACTACTGACAACTGCTGAATGGCTAGTGGCCTTGAGTCCCACCCGCGGGATGCTCCCAGCAGGGTAACCCCTACTAAGGAGAGTAGAACATCACCAAAGATTATACATTGTGATGTATTTCTAATTGCATTTGTGGTTGTGATCTGACAATTGCAAGCGTGATGCTTTTTGTTTTTAATCTCCATTTTACAATTTCACTAAACACTCAGTCTCTGCTCAGGCCCACTAGTCATCACTTATTGCACGAATGAAAGACTAACTAGGTGAATCACAGAATCCTTGTAAGAGCTGCTAAGGTTCTTGTTATGTAATCCATTCCCCTGCAAGGCTGCTTTCTTCACAGAAAAAACATGCGAGCAAGTGAACTGAAGCAGCACCATAAAAGCTTTTTATAATGTATGAATTCACTACATTAAGACTACTGTCAGAGATGGTAAGGAAATGATAATAAATAATAATAGTAATAAAAGAGATGTTCTTCCTTGGAAAAGATCTGTAATATCCGGAATATTCCTACAGAAATGGACTGCAGGATGGCATTGTGATAACCTTTATGCACAGCTGTGAGAAAGCCAAGTGACATGCTCTGAACTGGTTTTAAGATCTGAGCCAGCAAAAAACATGCTGGAGGCTGTTTATTCAGCTTTTGGCGAGTTGTAGATTTGACCGATAAAAAAGACACACTAATACGTGCATCTAAGGCTTCTCAGCTATAGAGACTGCTGAGGTATGATGCCTCGAATGGAAAGCAGAAAACTTGGAGGTAAGCTATCTGGAGTTTTGAGATGTAGTTTGACACCACTGAGTTTCTTGTAAAGTAATCCATAATGAAGTGACACCGAGTCTTTAATTTACACCATAACCCCGTTGGGGCGTGAACCTTGTCTTTTATACGTGTAGCACCACACAGCCCGTAATACCTTATAAATGATGTATTTGCCTTCCGTGTAAGTTTATTTGTTTCTTTCTTTGGACTGATTTTCAGTTTCACTTATGCATTTTGGTTCTAAGATCCATAATTTCCTTGAAACTCACAATACAAGATATTTATTAGACTTCCTGCCAATGGTTTCCGATCCCTACTGCCTGTCACAGTACTGGTATTTCAGGCTTCGAGGAATGATACTTTAGATTTATCCTCCTTGCCTTAATGACGAACACCTGCGTTGGCAAGGCATGCATATGACCCGCCACTGCCCGCTTTCCGCTCGGTGACATGTGGGCTACTCCCTAAACCGAGTCACTAACTAGAGAGGTGTCAGAAGGGCCAATTACTGTATAGCAGTGGTTCCCAACCTTTTTAGACCGCGGACCAGCACAATGCAGACCAGAAGCGGATGGCCTACTGCGGACCAGCAGCCAGCCCTTTTTTATACTCAGTATATCCCTCTTCATATTCAGTAGAAAAAAGGGTTGGCTACCGGTCTTCCAGCGCGGCTGGGGCCGGTCTCTATGGAGACCCTGGCCCTGCGCTGCCATGGTGCCACCGCCCCTGGGGTCTCCATGGAAACTGGCCGCAGCGACGTGAGCAGGGGCTGCTGGGTAACGGAGTCCAGCCCACGGCCGGAACCGCCACATCGCCCGCCCCTGACCTAAGCAGCATGGTGATATTCGAACGCAAGAGGTGCGATGACGCAACGCTGCGTCACGTCACGTCACTGTGTAATGTCCCGACACACCAATGTTTTACCACGGCTTATCAAGGGCCACCCCTGCGAGATGGCTCCAGGCCTTCTGCAACCTCACCGCTCCCATGTCTCTGCCCCTGACGTCACGAGGCAGCGCACCGCACTGGTGACGTCACTGCCGTCACGGGGCAGCCGGACATCCGGGGCACTCCTTCCCCCTCACCTGAGGAGCTGCAGAGCAGCCAGAGCCGGGCCCGCAGGCGGCCCAAGCTGAGGAGGGTGGGAGCGAAGAACATGGCTTCGTCATCAGGGTGCGCCGT